GAACTACCCCCCGAGATCCGGACGATCCCGGATCTCCTAACTTTCCGCCGCGCCCTCAAGACATGGCTTTTTCAGCAAGCGGGTCTGACCTAGGGTGAATTTTAAATAGGGACAATTTTAATGATTTTAATAAGACACAGCTATAAATATTTGGTTTTTAATTGGCTTTTATAGGGGATAATGTTTTATATTGTTTTAAGATGCTGTGAGCCGCCCTGAGTCCCATGGGGAGAAGGGCGGCATATAAGTTAATGAAAATAAATAAATAAATAAATAAATGGCGTCTGTGTTACAAGCGGAGTGTCCAATTACACCTCAAAAGGATGATACGGCTGAGCATCTGACTGTGGACCTCCCTTCTACTTCCGGCACCAAGGATCAAAATGGGCGTTCAAAAGATGATGGAAAAGAACAAAGAGTGACTCGTGCAGCTCACAGACGCAAGGAGAAGGAACAACTGACAGCCCGCCAAACAGCTGAGAGCTCACCACCTGCCACTTCTGAGCCAGTAGGTGGCGCTCGACCTAAAGTTTTTGTTAAAGCTTATGCTTCTAGCATTGCCATAGGATTAAAATCTGCTAATGCATAAGATTTCATCTTGGAATGTGGGGGGACTTAACACGCCCCATAAAAGACGCAAGATTTTTCATTATTTAAGACATTTTAACAATGATATCACATGCTTACAAGAGACTCATATTGTGGTTAAAGATCAAAAATTATTGTTAAATGCTAAGCTTGGAGAACTGTTTGCTGCACCTGCCTTAAAGAAAAAAGCTGGGATTGCTTTATACATTAAAAAACATCTTTCACCTATTTTAAAAGAAGCTGATAAAGAAGGAAGATTCCTACTTGTGGAAATAAATCTAACTGGAAGAAAGTGTTTAATAGTGGGGGTTTATGCTCCTAATCAACTGTCATCTCAAAAGTTATTTTATAGACAATTACATCAGAAGATTGTGGCTTTGGATTATAATTCTTTGATTTTTATGGGGGACTGGAATGGGGTATCTGATACTTTAAAAGACAAAAAGACAACTTCTAGGGATGTGGCCCTTTCCAGGCTCCCCAAATCTTTTTTTGTGATGAAGGAGGATTTGGAGTTGGTGGATGTTTGGAGATCACAACACATGAACGAACGTGACTTTACTTTTTTTTCTCATAGACATGAGTCTTTCTCAAGGATTGATTTTGTCTTGTTATCAACTGACTTGCTTACTGACTGTAATAAAACAAAAAATTTTCCTAGAGCTTTGTCAGATCACAGTATGGTATGGATTGAGATAGGTCAATATAAGAAAAGGAAATCTTGGAGAATGAATGAAAACTTGTTCAACCATGAGGAGAAGCTTAAAGTTTTGAAAGACTACATGGAAGAGTTTTTTCAACTTAACTTGAATAAGGAAACCCCTATACATACTGTGTGGGATGCGAGTAAAGCCTATTTGAGGGGTTTGTTAATTTCTATGAACAATGCATATAAACGTAAGCAAATACAGAGTAGAATAAACTTGGAAAAAGAAATTGGGATTAAAGAAAAATTATTATCTCAGCGGCCAACAGATATTAACTTGAAGGCTTCTATTAAACTACTTAAGGATCAATTTAATATTTTAATTGCTGATCAGGTGGCCACCAACTTGAAGTATATTAAACATAATACATTTGGTAATGCAAACAAACCAGGGAGATGGTTGGCCTACCAATTACGCAAGAGACAGAAAGCTAGACTTATATCTAAAGTTATGGTTAAAGGCCGCGAGGTTCATCAACATGAATTGATCAAGAAAGCGTTTACAGAATTCTACTCACACTTATATGCTGCTGGGTCTACAAAAATTGAGGACATTGATAAATATATGCAATTT